GAAAGCATTGAGATGGTGGTGGAATAGAAACAGTAAATCCTCTTGTCATAGAAGAAAAACAGATTAAGAAGGGGAAAAAAAAAACCCACAAACCCTAATGGTAGAGGAGATTTATTGCCAGGCACCATGCAGGGCCGGTCGGCCAGAGAGAGCGCGCCACCGGACTCGTACAGTAATGTGTGAATTTCCACTTCGGCTCGGCTGAATTAAATTTTTCCATTTAACAGGCTTATGGAGAGCTGTTGAGTGGTGCAGAAGATGGGCTCTGAGTGGGGATGGGCAGAGTGAGGTATCATGTCCTTAAAAGTGGACTCTTAAGGCCAGCAGACAAAGAGAGGACGACGGAAGAACTTCAAATGGTGTGTTTAGTGCACGTGTGTGTGCGTGTGTGTGTGTGTGTGTGGGTGTGTGTGTGTGTGAGAAAGTGGGAGTATTTACATTGAAGGTTTCTTGCGGCCCGGGTCCATGAGGCGCAGAGTATCCCTGATCACGCCCACTTTGACCTCTTCGTCAACCGGACTGGGAACGTATTCAAAAACTCCTGGTGTCACCTGAGACAAACACAAATATAGAGTTCAGCAGCCAACGATAACGATAATAATACTATGACGATACTGATGTTGACGTTCACTCTTACCTCTTGTTCGTGTTCGATTCTCATACTGGGGTTGGAGTTGACCTCCAGTAATACTGGCTTCAGGTTTTTCATCAGCAGGATGTCAAAACCTAATATCTAAGACACAAACACATCCTTAGTACATCATTTGTATTTATATTTTAGGATAAAGCAGACTGTAACTGTGTCACAACAAGCTATTATCTGTATAATTGTATAATCGGATTTCTGCAGAAAGTGGTCATCTAGTCGGCTTTATTTTCTGCATTAAGTTGTTTTCTCTTGACATTCATTTATTAACATAAATATACATTTAACTGTTAATGGTCTGGTTGGTTTTATCAATGCATAAAACAAGAGTGAACAGTGAATAAAAGTCTGAAATGCGACACGATTCTTATTTGCAGGTGATTATACACAAAATAAAATATAGTTATTGATATTATATTCCATTTCTGCCAATAGATCCCCCTGAATGCTACACGCTGTTCTTTTAAAAACGGGGTTTTACATGCAGAAGGAGGAGCTCCAGATGAAAAATAACCATGAAAACAAAAAGAGAATGCTGTTGAGAGAAGCTCACTTGGCCCAATTGGCTGCACTTTTGGGACAGTCCCTAACTTCAACTCATCAGATACCCGTCTACTGTCGAGTCACGCACAGCGCCAGGAAGATCAGTGAGGCTTGATTCACGCATTGAGCAACAAATGGTGAAAACAAATGAGAGGATATTTAGGAGGGACCTCACTGCATGTCTGAATATTGATCCTACTGTACACATTCTAGTCCTAACACAACGTTACCCGCCGCCACCCACCTGGAAGCAAGTGGGTCCCGGTTTTCCGGGCGGTATATCGGACTGATAGTAGACTCTGAGTTCAGGCACCACAGCGATGGCGGTCTTGATCACCAGAGCGATGATGTCCGACCACACCTTCTTGATGTCTACGCCTTTAGCCGCCAGCCTGTACAGCACGCTGGAGAGAGTGCGCTTGCTGCCTGTGCTCTGGCTGTCCGAGTGGACAAAGTTGCCACTGTGGACGTTGAGGGAGTAGTTTGTCAGGTGCATGAAGACGTGGCTCAGATTCTTCTGGCTTGGTTCCTTTACACAGTCAGAATAAGAGTGGCCTTAAATATATGTATCAAAGTGAATAAACTACTTCAAAGTAAAGTATTGACAGCATCGTCACAGCTACCTGGTAGGGCTCGGTGCAAAAACGCGTCAGGCCTTCCTTGGCAATGTAGATCTCCAACGGCTCCAGGGACTTTAACAGCACATAGAGGCGGATATCGAACTTGAGCTTGTCAATGAGTAGCGGCTTCTGGATGTACTCCTGGACTACAGCCTGTTTGGCCTGTGTACCCACCATGAGCTTTAGGTCACTAGGGTCACGAATGAGGTAGATGCCGTCCCCCTGAGAGCCCCCATCCGGCTTGACGATGAAGGTGGGGTTCAATGTTGCATCGCTCTCCTTCACCATGCGGATCTACAGCGGGGGTGGGAGCAAGAAAGGACGAGGTTAACAAAAAAGGCCTTGTGGGAACACTGGAATCCCACAGGTTTCACACACTGTGCCAAACCTTCAAAACAAAGATCCCTGAGTTTGAGGGAAGTCTGTTTGATGGAGCTTTGAAAGAGGTTAAAGCCGGGGCACGCAACTTTAGAGAAACCAGCAGCATTTTGAAAATATCCAACCTAAAAAAAATAACATTATCATGATTGTAAACAACAAACATGGCTATTGTTAGTCCTCATAGACTCCGGTCACGCACAATGACAACGCGGGCAGGAAGGTCATTCCATCATTTCACGAGGGCTGAATGAAACGATTGGACGGGATGATTACAGGCCTGCCAGCATTTGATTTATTGATCGCCGTCAGGATGCAAAGAGAATTTTAACAAATGTGAGAAAAAAAAAAAGAAAAGCTTCTCAAATAAAGTGCCACGTCCAGCTTTTAAAAAAAAATCATCACAGGTCCTTAAAAATGTGTGTCATCCATCATTCAACTAAACCTTTGAGTCAAGTGTACCAAATCAACACCATATATTATACATGCAAAGTCAAATCACAGCTTTATTATTCTGTTTCACTGAGATTTTCTTTGATGTAACACTCATCTGTGTTCGAATGCCTTTTCCTTCACACTGTGATACAGAAGTTTTGTGTGCTGTGAACTAGATCGGAGGGTTAACAGTGATATTCTGGTGCCCCCTGCTGGACAGAATGTATTGTTGCTATATATGATTTACTTAAATATAATTTTTTGACCATCTGCCCTTTCCATTGCATCAAAGAGTTGATTTAATTTTCCAAATAAAAGCGCACTGACATTGACAAACGGGAAATATTTGTCTCCCGACCAAAATTAACAACAAATATTTTAAACAGTGTCAGATCAATTTTCCTCCTTAATTGATTGACAGAGCATTTATCCAGATTAGTGTATTCTCAGTTCATTTAGGACTCGGTGGTGAATGGCACATTTGGTAACCGACTGTAACGTGCTTTCAACGAGGGAAGCTAATTCTTCCCCTCGTCTCTTCACGGCTCTACTTCCCCAGCAGACGTGTCTGCACTCAATGGTTTAGTTTCTCTCCAGAATAATCCCACTAGATTCAGCCATGTGTTAAGGAGTGTTAGATGACCATGAAGGGTAATATTCGTGAATACGGCACAGTCTGTTTTTGCCCCTCAAGGAGAGTGAGCAATGAAGCGAGCACACGTCACAGGAATAACAAGTTACAGTACACCATTTAACACACTACTGCTCGGCGTAGCATGGTGAGTATTTATAGAGAGAGAGAGACCAGAAGCACCGGTACTGTAAAGATAACAGTACACGCATTAGTTATTGCTAAAATGTGCCAAGTGTTGACAATTAAGAGGAAGCAAGATGGCAAACAGAAACCCTGGCTTTACTTTTTAGAGGCGTCTTGTATTTAAAAAGCCTTATCTGGGTAATGCATGTTGACTTACTAGCATGGCCTATTGGGGCACTTCAATGGAATGTAGCCCTCGCTAATGTTATTACTAACACCTGGTCTTACGCTGCTGTGTCTATTTAGCCTTCTTAGTACTGTTATCTTTATTTGTAGTATTGTTTTATCCGTTGCATGATTTATGTGTTATTTTGTCTGCACCTTTATATACGGTACCCAATGTCGTATGCACAGTGCACAGAAATACAGAGATTAATCCAAAGAAAAGCTCCACGTATCGTGCCCACTATCAGAACGCTTTGGTTGTGCAGCTATACCTGGGTGGAAAACTGCTGGCACTCCTCGGGCAGGATCCAGGAGCGGGGATAGAAGTCGTACTCTTCTGGGAACAACTCCTGCATCGTCCTCACCGCCCGACTCAGGTTGATCTTCCTCAGCATTTCCATCATTCCTGCAACGCACACCGCACCGTTTCAGATACAATAAATGGAAGAGGCTGACATGCAAGATATCAATAAAAAACACATTTGGGAGACAGCAGTCAAAGGAAGTTATACTGCTACGGGAAAGCAAATACAATCTGCAGAAGGACTAGAAGGAAGGCCAACAGACATGACCTTGTAAGGAGATATAACTCAATATGACACAAGTATCGTATAATGCACCGATAGTGCAAGATAAATGCAAGGAGACTCAAGTGACGTGCATCTGTTACTAATACAATAATCTCCAGAGTCTCTAAAGTAATGATGATTGCCACGGCATGAAAAGGTTAGCGCTGGAGCAATGAGGATCAGGGAGGGTTTAACTAAATCCCTCCCGCTGTAGTTACAGAATGCTGAATGCACTGCGAGATGAAATGAAGCCGTCTTCTCCACCTACGGTTCAACAAGCCTCGCTGTGGCCTTAAATCAACAGGAAAGGTTACAGAAGACGAGAGCGGCGGAATACCTGGGAACTTGTTCACCTGCCCCGAGACGATGTTTTCATTGTCGTGGAAGGAAACGCCGTGCCAGTAGATGTCACAGGGTGCTCGTCTTCCCAGAGGAAACTGAAGACAGGGAGAGAGAGGACAGGAACAGTGGGGGAATAAAAGATCTATTTAGACAATGAAAAACTCTTTTTGCATCTGTAAATGAGAGAAGGGGGGGGGTTCCTCTTGGTGATCCCAGAGTGCAGGGATAATCTTGCCTAAAGATGGGACTAGTGCGTGCTCTGTTGTGATGAACTGGGGAAAGAAGATGAAGCGATACTGTAAAAAGGGTTTAGAGAGCTGGGAAATGGCACAGCTTTTCTCCTCCATGCCTCTGCTCTGGCTCCAGACTCACACAATGCAAGTGTTTGGACCCCTGACTGACCTGCATGAACACCTGTTAAGACAGCGTCTACTATTACAGTACATTTCTACCACACGCTGCTACATCTCACTCCTATGCATCAACGCACAATCCGCTCTTTATTCTTTTAAACACATTCATACAAATGTGATCAGCTGTTGAGGTCTGTTACTGGGTGCTTTTATTACCAGAGTTCTGACAAATGTCCATTTGAAGTGTCTGCTTTTTAACAAACTGGCTTGATTCTGCATTTACACACACACAGCATTCTATTGAAATACAATAAACAATTTCTGCCAGCTCATTATTTATCAGAACTTGACACTGAGCTTCAAAACATTCAAAATTGAGCTGGGACGAGTTTAGTCGTGGAGTCTGTCTTTAAAGGTATGAATCTATATCAAGTTGTATCGGAAGGTCACCACTAGATTCTACACTCAAACAACCGCTCTCTGACAGAGTAGCATCTCATTAACGAGTTAGCGTGAGAGTGTGTGAAAACAGGGAAACCCTGCTCCACAGCCAGCACCTGCTATAAATACTGCCACGCAGATGCCAACGTAGAACTGTGTCATCGCATCAGAGAAGGAAGTCCAATTAACCCGAGTAGCTTCTACGGATCAGGGCCAAAACAGCCATCTTGACTACGTATGGAGAGATAGACAGAGGAACGCTTTCCACCCATTGTTGTGGACACACTCACGAGTGGGCCGGTCCGTTTTATTATATTATCATAATCTCAGTTGGTTATTATGTCCTAAATATGGGAGCCTCCAGGTGGCAGGCCTTTTATAATGCCTCAGTCTGTAGAATAATAATGGAAATGCCGAGCCCAGCGACTGAATGCACAGTTATTGGTCTCATTTTCTGAAGTTGTCACTCAGACCCTCAGACCGGCCGTTCTCTCTCTGCCTCGAGGAGGCCTGGAAGTCTATTGGATTAGAGGGCGCTTAAGGCTAATCATTTTCCACCGTGTAAGGCCGGATATGTTGAAAGTCAGTTGACAGCTGAAAACACTGCAGATGTAGAGACGTAGTCATTTGGATGTAAATGCAAATGAGCAACTTATCAGTCACTAACGTGTCTTAATAAAATCTCCATAACTGTATCCAGCATTCTATTTTATAATCCCACATCAGTGCTTTGAGTTACAACTTGGATTCCTCCCAATCAGTGTCCATTACATAATTGACGGACAGGGCTGCTGGAGTTTCAACCCCTTCAAAGATGTCAACAGGTACTTTCAAAAGCAGCACAGGATCCATGGCGCCCCTGACTTTGTCGTGGTAATGCATCGGCCTTCTGTCTACCGATACCGATACCGGACCTGGAAGGGTTTAAGTGTCACTGCCTGGTCAAGGGTGATACGTAGAGTCTTTACTTCATCGCGATGCCCTTCTTTACTCCTCATGCATAATGGAGACCATGTTAACGATAGCCGATAGCAGGTATTACCTGCATCTCATTCAAATGGACCAGGTGGTGTTTGTGGCTCGGAGAAAAGAAGAACTGGATGAATTAGCCGTCTCATAAATGTTTTAACGCCGTTCATTTAGAACAACTTTCATCCACACCCATCCTCTGTAATTTATACATTAGAGGCAAACTGGCATTGTCGGGTTGAAGGCGATCGTGTCATCGAATTAATAATGGGCCAAGTTTTCAATCAAGGACTTCTTCAATCATTGATACAGTAAATAAATACTCAATAAGAAAGGATAACAAGTCGTCATACTCTGAATTAGAGCTGCAACCATAATTTAAAGATTATTTTCTCAATAGATCACTCCATTTACAATTTCCTAGCCAGTGATTAGCTTGACTTTTAGCCTGCCACATGATCGGCCAAAAACTAATTTATCTGGTCTCAGAGATTAGAGTGCGAGATCGAAATAACAAAAATAGATATGACGAGACTCCGTCTAAAAACAGCTGTGACCACACTGATCCAATGCTCAGTGTCAGCTGTCCATACTATATCAATGGATGGACAGGTTCATCAACACTCCCTCACCCTATCCTCTTCAAATCTCCTTCTGACAGATCAGTTTGGCCACCTTCAGTAGTGTACTCGTGTATATTTTATGACAAGTACATGAAAACGTTTAAAAGCTGGAAAGCTGTGCATAAAGTACTGCGAATAAAAAAAATAAAGTATATATAACCCGTTTTCTTTGATTGCATTATTTAATTTAACACACAAGTGCACATTTTGCATTAAATAACTAGGTAAGTTAAGTTAAAGTGGGCCAAACGTTCCTGCACAGACTCAAATTTCAGTCCCTTTGTATTTTTTGTCAGACACACTGCCTCTTTTAACCCTAACCTAAAATTCTATTGTCTCTAACTGTTTAAAGCCCAGCAAAAAGCCTCATGTTGCCTCATGTTATGTGCTATGCAGATTGATATAAGAAATGTGCATTGTTGGCCTTTTCTTCTAGTTCTTCCCCACAGTGACACTTTGCTCATCACATCCCCGTGACCCGTCTCTGCAGACATTTACTTCTCAATGGCACATAATTGGAGAGCAATACGACAGAGGTTTCCATCCGTGCACGTTCGTGACCAAAGCCTAAGCTGGTTGTCATCCAAATGAAACACTAATGCAGCTGATGTCAGAGATCATCTCCGGATCAAGCCGCGCACTGCACCAGTTAAACCAGCACCTTGTTGTTCCATAGAAATACAACCTGTAAAGAACACTGAATAACATTAAACAAGGAGAAAGAAACGTATGTAGCACACCTCTTTCCACTTCAGCTGCTTGACGCTTAACTTGAGGGCCTCCAATGAAGTTTTGGCTTTGGAGATGTCCACCGTCACTGGTCTTCTCTTCTTTGCCAGTTTAAATCCGTCCTCGCGGCGTGTTTCTTGATTGTTTTTGGATGGTTGGATGTTTGCGTAATTCCCATTCGTCTCCAACTTGCCCTGCAGTATTTTCCCAGTCCCCTTGACATGAAGTGTCCGCTCGTGTCCTAGTACTCTGTTCAGGTTTTTTCCAACATGAGCAGAAACTACAGACCCGTGCGACACATCCGAGGTGTGTTTACCACAGGAGTTCTTGGCATCCTTTCCCAGCTTGCTTCGATTTTTAACCCTATATTTGCAGGTGTTGGACGCATCTCTGCCGGCTACAGTGAGGCTAGAAGGGTCTGGCGAGGCAGAAGCAGGGGGAGAACACACAGGCACCTGCTGCTCAGCATCCACACCCTCCTTCTCTGCATCCTCGCCCAGTGATTTCATTTCCTCCACTTGGATCTCTACTTTTACATAACGATCACTCATTATGCGGAACGCTACGAGTGTGCGCTGCTGGACAGGGCACAGTTGTGCCACTGAGTGCAACAATCCGAGCTAACCTTATCCTGAAACAATGCAGAACGCATTGCTAGCTTAGATGGCTATATTAAAAGCAGCAATAACAAGCTGGCGTTGACTTAACCTAGCTCTGCTAGTGGCAGCACTTGTAGCTAAGCTAGCTACTTGAGGCCAGCTAAACCTGACGTTAGCTGACATATGGGTCTACCTTTAACTCATGACAGACTTTACCTTTCGCGTACGGTTATCTACTGTTCTAGCGCTGACCAGCGGTGCAACGACGGCCACAGTCCTCTGCTCTCTGTGTGTGTTACCGTCGCTGTGTTGTCAAGCAGGAGAGCCGCTCAGCAGCAGCAGAAGGCAGAGCAGCTGATGCTGCGTTTAGAGCCCCTCGTAAACACCAGCTTTCCGAAGGCATGTCGGCTCAATTACTTCATCTCCATGCTTATCGCACATTAACTATAAATAGAAAACCAAACCAATACTACATAGAGCTGACTTCAACAATATGTGTGTATTGATATGTTGATTTTACAGGTTGATTATTAGTAATATAATCTCCTGAAGCCGTACTATTTACCCTTTCTATTGGTATCTGCTTTGAAATTGTATTTTGTCCGACAGCACGTGAAGGCAATGAGGGGATGCCATGTATCAGGGGCTGTGTCCCCCTTTCGAGCCAACAATTTACAAGTTCAATATCCTGGCAGGAACAACTGGCGCCTGAGAGCACCTTCCTTTATGACTGTCACAGAATTTAAACAAATAACACAATCAAGGAACGTCTACTTTGTGATTATCCACAATCAAACCACTGATGTAGCCTGATCAGCCATAGCAATCAAAATAAATTACACTTCTTTATTGTACAATGCAACCACAGCTTTATTTATTTAATGTGATTGGTTTGAACAGGATAGTTAGTGGACTGGTGTACACTGATATTAAGAAGGACCTTTGCTGGGGGGAAACTTTAGTAGGCTAACTGGACAACATTACATTTAAGTTGACATGACATGTTTCCCCTCTCACACACACACACACACACACACAGACGGACAGGAAGCACGGGCGAGATTTATGTCGGCGGTATAAAAAACATCTCACAGCTGAGATCCCGCATCTTTCCCTTTAAAGGAGCGCAGTGATGAGTCGCTGGGTAAGAACGGCCGTGTGCTCCTCATCGGGAGACCCACTGGCTATTTATTTTGTGTCACATTTCTGTCCTGGTTTTAATCTGATGAGACGGTAGAAGAAGATTTTTATCGCTACTAATGGGATTCACCTTGATTTGACCCTGAGGAGGAGGTCCTTAATGCAGGAATGCATATGGAGCTGAAATGTGAAAATGCTCAATTTCAAGGACGCACTCCTTTTTTTTTTTCCTCCGACTAATGATTTATGTTGAGAAATAGGATTACGAAGCCATCGGGTCAAATCCCGCGTCGTGTGAGACTCGTGGAATTTTTGCAGTTGAAGACAAGCGGGAGGAATTATAATGGTATATGATGATTAGACTCCGGGGTTTGGTTATTTGCGACGCGCGGCGTAGGTTTGCAGTAACGATGTGATCAGATTGGGATCCCTGGTTTCTCGCTGCGCTGCCTCCCAACACAGTCGCTCACAATGCCGAGGGCTCTGCGGAGACTGGTCCATCTGGTGCTGTTCTGTCCTCTGTCCAAAGGTCTGCAGGTATGTGTGGACAGCATGATGCCGGTCTGCTTTTTTTGGGGTTACTATTAACAGCAAATTACCCACAATGCATGTCAAACTACCAGGGCAATATCTTCTGCGTCCAGTGCACCTGCACATCACACAATGTCGTGAAAAAATGCAAAGAAGGGAATCAGAGGGTGCAGACCAACACATCATCTTTGTTTTATTCTAACATCAAGTGGCCAGCATCCATTTAGCCTGCACGGAAACTGGAATCCGATTGCCTGGATGTGTGTGTGGGCCTATGCATAATGGCCAATAAAGCTGATTCTGAATCTTGTTGTGCAGGCCTCAGCCCAGGCTACATGCATTGAGATAGGCTACTAAACATAAGTAAAGCCTACTTGTACTTTTTTTGCAGCACGTGTGCTTTTACTTCTCTAAGTACATTGTGTTGTACTTTAACGTATGTGGGATTTTGAAATGAGGGCTTTGACTTGTAATATAGTCTCTTATATTGATGCTACTTTTACTGAAGGACCTGAACACTTATGTCACCCCTGCATATCAGAGATGTTGGTTTTATCCTGAGGTCAAGTGACCAGCTGTTTCATTCATTGTGGTGTAAACCTGTTTTTATGATCAGTTGTCATGTCTTCTCAGGTTAACTGTGTTTCTCTTCTCCTTCCAATCCATCCTTTCCTCCATTTCTCTTCCCTCCACAGAGTCGTCTCCCAGCCATTAAGGTGAAGTACCTTCTCCTGGCATGGCTGGGCATCCTCATTGCCAGCTGGGTCATCTACATGCAGTATGCCTCATACTCTGAACTCTGCCGCGGGCATGTCTGCCATATGGTCATTGTAAGTTGAATCTCTCAATGCAGTGACAGCCAATGTTCATAACTTCATCAGTGTGATGGTGGTCCGGATGCTACGGGGAAGCAACACACACACACTCACATTTTGCTGCACAAAGCAGTACAGATATGATGTTTGTAAAATGTTGTTGTAGATGCAGCGGCAGATAAACGTTTTCCAACAGATTCAAGATGGGGTAACGCTATGAAAGCACAGGTACAAATCAATAGAGATTGGATTTGTTTTTAGACAAGAAAAAGAAGATGCAAGGCTCTATGTTTCATGAGTTACTGGGTGGAAAATGAACTGCAGATAGTTGTAAGGCAGAAACAGAAGAATACAGGCTACAATAATGCCGCAGTGAACCGCTTAGACTCCTAAATGAACGCGCAAGTACTCAAAACAAGGGGAAATATGGCAGGACAAATGGACGGGAGGTCTTTTGAGGAAGAGGAGGGACAGTTGGGCCTCTTCCTTCATACATGGCCTTTGAAGCTAAGTAAAGTTACAGCCTATAGCTAAACTCCTCTCCTGCTGTGCCCGGCTGTTTTCTGAGCTTTCCGGCCGTCGAGAACAGAACAGGCGCTGACATTCGATGAGACACCGCGGAACACGATGGCGATTAAGTGGATAACTACTCGAGAGGAATTGATGTGCAATGAAAGATCAATGATGTAACCTCATCATAACAACTAATCAGATCTTCACAACAGTTTCTGTGCCTCAGTTTTGACATTGTTAAATAACGTTGGAGAAAATGTAATAAATAAAGGCTAATGTGATTACACGGAAACGTTTCGTGTCGCCCGGATAAGTGCTGATGAGGATGGGAACACAATGGGATTTGATTTGCCTGTGGCTGCTTTGTATTTTGGTGACGCGTCATTAACGCGAGTGCTCTGAACAGGGAGGAGAGTGTGAGAGGGTGTCGGCAGAAATAACCTGCTGTAAGCCGACATTTGTTTTTACACAATAAAGCTGATTCTGATGTTAGATTGTGCACTTTAGAGGTGCTGGTAGAAAGATGTTGTCATCTTAAGGCGGAGCCAGACTAGCTGTTTCCCCCTTCCTATTCACCATACAGCACAGACATGAGACTGGTATTGATCTTCTGTAACCAGGATGGCACTTTGAGAGACATTTTCCAACACTGGTCAACAGGAGTATAGTCAATTAATTCCTTTGTTTGACTGATTCAGAAACTGTGCCTTCAAACGATCCGTCAGTGTGTCTGTACAGTTGTGATGCAACAACTAAACAATATATCGACCATTTCACAGTCTCTCTAAATGTGTCCCACTTTATTTCCTGTTGCAGTGTATGTCAATGAAATCCTCTTTTTAAACATTAAAGCATACAAACATGTTCTAGTAGAAACTCAGAATGCAAGTATGAATCTGAAAAGGAGCACGATATGTCTCCTTTAATAGATTTATACCTAATACAGATTTTGAATTTGAATTTTAAGCACTCACAAATCTAGCGCTGACCGAACTTTTTCCTGTGTTTAATGTAGTGAACTTCCTGTTTCCTTTTGCAGTGTGATCACTACCGGAGGGGCATAATATCAGGCTCGTCCTGCAAGGCGTTGTGCGATCAGAGAACTCTGACTCTGCAGCACTGCAGGTCCACTTCCTCTACACACCAGGTGACATAAACGCACACTGTCGACACACACCCACTTACAAACCAGGCACACTTTGTATGCAAACACAACTTAAGCATTCTCCACAAAAGTAACAGAAAAATATGACATCAAATTACAGACATAATTCTTTCGTCTCGTTATTTATTTTACTTGCAGGTGTACGGCGGACTGTGGAAGGAGAGAGCCGTTGTGATCAAGTGTGGGATTGAGGATCCGGAGAAGATTGACGGGGCTCCGGACTCTGTGCTGCGGCGGGAGATGAGCTTATTTGACAAACCCACTCGTGGAACCTCAATGGACGAATTCAAAGAAATGCTGCATAGTTTCCTCAAGGTCTTTTTTTTCAGCAATTACACATTTTAATATAATAATAATATATGTCACCACATAATACCTCCTTTTTGCAGGCTAACCTTGGTGAGCAGCCCTCTCTGAGCACCTTGGTGGACAGGGTCATTACCCTTGCTGATGTCAACCAGGATGGCAAAGTGTCTCTAGCAGAGGCCAAGTCTATCTGGGCTCTTCTCCAGATCAATGAGTTCCTTCTGATGGTGGCGCTGCAGGAGAAGGAGCACACCCCCAAGCTGCTAGGCTTCTGTGGAGACTTGTACGTGACGGAACACGTGGGCCACAGCTCCCTCTACAGGCTCGAGGTGCCTCATTACCTGGAGGCTCTGGTCCCGGAGGCCCTAAGCTCCAGCCTGAACCACTGGCTCGCACCGGCCTGGCCCCAAAGGGCTCGCATCACCATCGGCCTGCTGGAGTTTGTGGAGGAGGTCTTCCACGGGTCCTACGGCAGCTTCTTAATATGCGACGCCAGTCCTCGCCACGTGGGCTACAATGCAAAGTATGACTGCAAAATGGCCAACCTGCGCAGTGTGGCATCTGAGGCGGTTGTGCGGGGACATCTGAGAGGTCGGCGGTGTGAGACCAACGCAGACTGCACCTTCGGCCGGGACTGCACGGCCACCTGTGATCGACTGGTGAAGCAGTGTAACACGGAGGTTGTGCAGCCCAATCTGGCAAAGGTGTGTGTGCTTTTGCAGGACTTTCTGCTCTTTGGAGCACCTTCAGACCTCCGTGGGGATCTGGAGAAGCAGCTGCGCACCTGTGTGACACTCAGCGGTCTGGCAAGCCAGATGGAGGTGCACCACTCACTAGTCCTTAACAACCTCAAGACGTTACTGTGGAAGAAAATTTCAAACACACAGTACTCTTGAAAACCGGTTGAGATTATCCGAACCTGTACATCTACAGAATGAGTGAACTATGACATGGACACAAAGCTTTGCCAAATGTTTTAGAGGCTGGTGATTATTGGTGTATTTTTGAACTCTACATTGACTGTGAATAACAGGAAACTGTGAAACACTGATTATACAATATGAAACAGCTGAAGAACCAAGACTTTATTTTTTGTCTTTTGTTTTCTAATGCGTTATTTTGAGAAGCACATTTATGTTTGGACATAATGTTCTCAGGGCACTGCCTATAACTTTATCTGTAAAATAATCTGCGAGTCATTTTAGTTCTTAAACTCTTGTCTTTCCCTATTGAGGCAGAATGTCAAATTTGACACGGTGCGATTTTTGTACAACTGTAAATATTGGTGGAGTTTTCTTGTTCCGTGTGTAAATGAATCTCCATGTAAGACACAAATAACGGATAGAGTAATGTGTGTATACGGTAGCACCGAAATGTCCCTCCTGGTATTGATCTGATATCATTAATGTATTGAAATCGACCCGCACAGAGTTGTAAATGATGATCAGACGTTAAACTTGAATTAACTTTTAATCCATAAATAAACGTTAGTTGGTTTAAACGATTTTGAACTTTTTAAAGGTTTGTGCTAGACTCCTGAAATGTTGTGTGTATTACTAGCACTCCATAGCACCTCTGTTTCAAGTTTGGTGGTTGTAGCTTGTTCCTTTGGTATAGCTGTCAGACTCCCAATGCTTTGGGCTGGGGGCGTGGCCAAGCACAGAATAAGGGTTAGGGTGATAGGAAGGTCCTAGAGCCTTGGGAGTGGGCTCTACCCCCACTAAAGCGGTCATTGCGGTTCGATTGGTGTCTAGCCTATTAAATATGTGCGACATTGTCATGATTAGCATATGAATTCTTGATTTGTGGCCAAAATGCATGTTTTGTGCTGCCACAGAGACCTTGACCACCAAATATTAATCATTTCATTATCGAGTACAAATGGATGTGAAGTTCCCTCTGGGCGTCCCGAGACATCTTTCATAGGAACCGTACGGACGGACAGCCTGGAAAAAATAATGCCTCAGGCCAAGGCTGTCACCGCCATGGAGGTATAAAACACGACCGTGTCACAGAAACTAGATTCATTAAAGAGTAAGATACACGGAAGTTCAGTCTCAACACAAGACAACATGTCAGCCCTGAACACTAGCATCACATTTATTCTTCCAGAGGCATGATGAAATGGAGCAGCAGACGATTTGTACTTTTTTTAATGTCTCTTATTTAACAATATATCATGTCACAAGCTTGGCGTGGCCGGTGCCGACATGCCGTGCAGCAGCTCCATCCGCCTCCTCTTATCCTTGGCACGGTTGATGGTCATCTTGAATAAGCGACAGTACGTCTCCACAGCAGCCGGAGTGTCGTCGTTCCCGGGCACCGGGTAGGTCACCAGGCTGGGGTTGCAGTTCGAGTCCACCACGCCGACCGTGGGGATGTTCATCTTGGCCGCGTCTCTGATCCCCACGTGCGGCTGGAACACATTGTTGAGCGTGGAGAGGAAGATGATGAGGTCCGGTAAGCGGACTCCCGGGCCGTACTGGATGGGGGCGTTGGTGAGGAGGCCGCCCTGCCAGTACCGCGTGTGGGCGTACTCGCCGCAACTCTCAGCGGCGCTCTCCACCAGGTGGACGAACTGACGCTGGCGGGAGACGAACAGTATGACGCCGCCGCGGTACGCGATGTGGGCGGTGAAGTTCAGGGCTTGCTGGAGGTGCTCCACGGTCTGGTCGAGGTCAATTATATCTTGGTCCAAACGGCAGCCATAGAGGTACGGCTCCATAAGCCTAGGAAAAAAGAAAAGAGAATTCGATTTCGGTTTAAAAATAGAGAGGTCAATGAAGCCAACTGTGCTTCCATTTTCAGGGTCACAGCTCTCCCTCGAGTTTAATATTGACTGATTGATTTGTCTGCGGTCAACTCTATCGAACCATTTTCTGTTCGGCTTTGTTTCTCTGATGTGGTTCCACACAGAGCTAGTATTAATACCAACTCAAGATGTATTCTATGTGCTTTAATGGAAGAGAACCAATCATATCAGATACTACCTTAGTGTATAACAGACTTTTTGACTCTGCTATGAATCCCACCACTGTCTCTTTATCAGCACACCTCACAACTTTATAATTCATCTCCAAATGCTCGTGTAGAAGTTCTAATTTTATTCCATTAATACTTTATCTACCTCCTATTATTTATTTATGTCCTGGTACTGCAGCAACAACCGCATTTCCTTTTAGATTAGCGGCGACATTTTGGATCGTAAACAAAAAAAAATAAAATGTTAACACTGGTTACACATTAAAACAGCACAGATGTCATAAATGTACTGTAATGGGGACATTATGTAGCCTGATATTAACACTGTTTCTAGTGTCTCTGTCTGGCAGACTGGAATTACTCACAGCTTTACTGCTCTGCATTGCGTCAGGTAATTTATTTCATTTAAAATCAATGTGTTGGAGCACAGAATCAAATTTTTGGTGGATTTGCTGCTTTACATAAGTTTTTATGTGATAGTAAATTGTGTTGTAACTGTTATGTTGTTCATTCTGTACACACTTCTGTCCATCCTGGTAGAGGATCCTCCTCTGTTGCTCTCCCACAGGTCTCTCCCTCTTTTCTCTCTGTTAAAGGGATTTTGTGGGAGAGTTCTTCCTGTTCCGTTGTGAGGGTCCCGGGACAGAGGATGTGTGTACAGATTGTAAAGCCCTCCGAGGCAAATTTGTGATTTGTGATTTTGGGCGACACAAAATAAATTGACTTGAATTGAATATCTTTGGGTTTTGGACTGCTGGTCGGACAAAACGAGTTCTTTATAGATAGATTTATAGATGGAAGCCTAAGAGCAAAACATGACTGGAATTGTTATGCATATGAGAAATAAAGAACCTGAAAACACACTTTCAGAGATGTTGATATAAAAATATATATTCTTTCAGTATTTTTTACATTTTAGAGACTAAAACAAGAATCTATTATTTAAGAAAAGATTTCTCGATAATGAAAATAACCTTTTCTTGCAGCCATGTCCGTCAAATGGAACGAATCAATAGAATTGCTTCAACATCATGCATTTTGAATTGGAGTATAAATGTACACCGACCTGTGTCTGCAACCTTTCTTATGGCCGAGATGCACTCGGGCGTCGAACAGGTCTTTCAACGAGATGAGCTCCGACACACGGAAGAAGTCCGGCTTCTCCAGTGGCTGGCTTATCACTTTGTCTGCGTGTAGGGAGACACAACATTACTAAAAGTCTGGTTTAAAAACATGACACACGCCTGCTTGTTGTGAGCTCACCTGAAACATCGTCAGCTTTGACTTGGGTCGGTTTGATGGATGCTGCAGTGGCGTACTGGTGTCCAGCACACGGGTACACAGCAGAGGTTCGTAGTCCCCAAAGCCCTGAACATGAGACACAAATTGGCAGCAGTCAAGACATCGGACATTAACTTATAACAAGCGAGTCAGTAACTGCTAGCTGCTAGCTACACACGTTAGCTGTCAAATAAATTGCTAACCGAACTGTCAGGATTATAAGCATCAACCAGAACAATACCACAACTGAATCTAGAGATATAATACTGTGTGACATTCAGACAAAGACTTACTTTGTCGGACAATTAGAAATACTTATGTGCAGATACCTTTCGTTAGCGCCCGGGCAGCCATGCTTGCTTCAGGAGCACCACAGAAGGTCAGCTCACTGCGACTGCGCGTGTGTAGTTCAGGGACTGCCGTAAAGTTGTGGTTCTGTCGTGACAGTTTGGCATAATAGACTACAATACCCATGACGCCAGATCATTATTTTTTAACTTCACAACTTTATTGAAAAACAAATGCACAACACTCGTGTTATTTAGTTATATAGATACTCCTGACATGGAACAAGTGTTTGAAACGAATGACACTTAACAAAAATGAATGCTGTAGCATGAGAATATAAGAATTCACCGCATCTGTACCAGGACAACCCAATGATATTTATAAAACAGCAACTAACTAATACCCGTCCACCAGTGAACTCTAATTATTCAGTAGCAGCATGAAAAAATGTAAAGAATAAATGCCCTTCATTTGCTACATTAACAAGTGAACTTTTATTTAGCGTTACGTATTTTAAAGAATCTCTTTAATATTGAACCTGCAACATCACAAACTGGGCGAAATGTTCTTTTTTCAAAATCCAACCCAAAATGCTAAAAATGCAAAAAGCAAATCCAACACCACTAGCCTGCAACATCAAATCCAAAGGGAAACCTGACATAAATATACACTCTTGAAGTGCAAAATTATTATTTTACATTAAATACTCAACAACCCACATACTGTAATATCAAACACTATCAAATGCAGTGTTAAGTTTTATTCCGTTATGCTGTGGTGGCTGGGTGCTTCATTTTTCCCTGAAAAAAAGATGAAGAACTTGGATAAGAGGGATTTTATATGACTGTGATCACTCAACGTGGAGACCAACCACACACACATACCTGTTCACTGGAATGAACTGAAGCTTTCTTTTGACACGTTGCAGAGCCTTTCTCTTCACTGGAGCTCTACCGTGAGAAGGAAGCGCCTGCAAGTATCGTGTAGTACAGGTTTCACACTCTCTGGATATGGACAACTTTTTACAAACAGCCAGATGGCGAGGAACAGAACAAGTTCCTTGCCATTGGTGGAGCTGAAGAGGTTTCTACTGAATATCTAGTTTCACCATAAAGGGATACAAATAATGGAGCAGAGTAAACTGCACCAGAAACTCATCTCTAGTTGTACCTTCTTGCATTTCTCAGCCTGGTAACTCCTGGTGAACATCCTGCTTCTGTCCTCTGTGGTAAGAGCTATGCAAGGTCTGAAGATGATGCCAGGGTCAATGGCACTGGACAAAGACCTGGGCAAGGCAAAGCAGGACACACATCAGAGCGGTGACTTAGTGCTCTACTAACTCACCCCCAAAGTCCGTCTTAAAGCCAGTGAACGCAGCTTGTAAATGAAAAACGGGAGGTGTTCCATCAGCCGGGAGCGTTACTGCGATGCAATTAGCATTCTTATTATACATCATTAAGGAGGATGAGGGAGACCCATTGCCTCTCGGATTCCACTCTTTATTACACAGATGCACTTAAAAGACACAGCAAAAGTTTTTTGTTTTTTTCTGAAAGAGTAAAAGAAAAAAGAAACACTTCTTACAAAATATTTACAAAACCTGGCAATGCACAGCATGTTTGGTAACTTTTTTTTTTGATAAACAAAAATAAATAGCTTTTTTTTCACATAGGAAATTCAAGAAAACTTCAACATGAAAGAGAAATGAACACACTAAATATCAAGCGTATCGAGACAGAGAGGAGTGGTTTCTGTGGAATCTAGAGCACTCGAGTCATAGAAGTAATAAGTCCAAGATTGTTATGGTGGCTTTCATCAACAACGGAGCTTTAACTTCCCATCCGCGAGTTTAAACCAAGAGCACTGTGTTTGAAAAACAAATGTTGGGAAGAATGACACGATATCTCCACGGTAGTCTAGAAAGGATATGTTCCCGTACCGAATGGTGTTCTGAAGCTGCTCTAAAAATGATGCCTTTTCAGGGTCGAGGGTATAATCCGTTTGAAAAGTGTACCACGCCTTTTCTCTTTATGTGAAGGAGTTAGAAAGGACTCCCTCAACCTGTTGTTTTCTGGAACTATCATCATGAGAGGAACTCAGATGTAGAGCTTTAGCAGTGTGGGGCAATGACATAAAGACATAGGTTAGGGTGGGAAGTGAAGAGACATGTTTAATACATGGCAGAAGCCCGGTAAAGTCATGGTAATATGTATTATGCTAGATGAGTTAGCATCTGACTGGTCTTTTTTTTAAATTATAAATCTAACTAATAAGCATTTAAGAGAACCGGCATATATTTTGATATGTGTAATTGCAAGTTATAGAAAATGTAATTAGAACATTTTAGCCATATTGCTGCATTCTGCGTGCATTTAGATTTGATGTACACCAGGACATGAGAGGATCTAAATCATATACTATACGTTTGGTTTTCTGGCTTTTATTCAGATAGCCCTAATGAAGGCAGTTATGGACACATTTAACAACAACAACTTTTTAACCTTTGCACATAAAGAACCTACATATCACAGGTAAATTAGGTAAGATATGTCATAATACCATGTATGTTTCTGATAAATATTGCTAATTTGTGTTGATAAATTCAAGCAATACATCGAAATCTTGAGCATTTGGTTTGAACCTTGAATCTTTATTTTGTCATATCGAAGTTATTTCTCGTGGTCACTTCTTTTTTACATAAAATCTGAAAGATATTTAAGACGATATCGTTTTCTGCAAATAAATATTCTGCATGTTGATGGTGGTACTACTCATGCAGTCTGCCTCTTGTGTCGCTGTATTGCTTTTCAAAGGTTTGATGGTGATATAAATTAACCTTTAGAGCACAAAACTGTTGTCATGGTGGTGCTATTGTGTTACATTGCCATATAAATGTACAAACACATTTAAAAAATGCCTGTTTTATCGTATAAACAAACATTCCCTTCCAGCCTATAAATGAATGAGCTTGATCATAACCTACATTATATATATCAGCAATCAAGAAATGAACTCGTAGAAAATTGGCTTATGATGCTATGGGACACAGAGGCCAAAGAAAATACTTACAATGTGGGAAAGCCCTGCTTCTTCTCTGGATTTCTGCTGCTGCCTGACTCACAATCTGCCTCATCTATAAACTCTTCCTGTGATCCTTCTAGATGCACTCGTTTATCGTCTATCTTCACGCTCTCGTCTTCTCTTTTTATCTCACTTAGCAAGTCTGCTTTCTCCTTTCCCTCGCTCCTTTCCCTGGTCCGAACCTGGACATGGTTGGTCCTATTAGACTCCAGTTCAACAAACACACTCTTGTCCTTAGACATGTGCACCATACTCTCCGTAGGGCTCCGTGCAAAGGGCGTCCTTGGATGCTGCCTGGCCGTAGACAAATGATTCAAAACAGGGGACCTGAACTTGGTATTCACATTTGTCTCTGTAGAGCAGGGGAAAGGTGCTCTGCTGGTTCTTGCGGAGGACCAAAAAGGGACTGCAGTCTGTGATTTGTGCCCCCCGCTGTGATATGGACTTCCTGATGCAGTCTCGCTGATTTTAGATGAAGTGATATGGAACGCAGTTCGACTGGTAGTCCTAGGGTCAGTCGCTGGGAGTCCAAGGCTCTGGCGCCACTTGATCGACTCCGCAATGTTCGGACTCACACCGGGCCGAACCCTCTCGATCTGTGGGGTGACATCCTGGCCGTCCCCTCTCCCAGAGAGAGGCCTCCATTGCTCGATTCTAGCGGCTCCCGCCCCATCCGCTGGTTCCAAAAGGCTGGGGCTGCAGGACTGGACCGATGGCAGGCGTGACTGTGCAACGTCAGCGGAGACGTCCGCCGGTGGCGAACTTTGCGGCGTTGGAAGAGGACGACTCCTCAGAGGAGATTGTCCAGAGAGAGGACTGATGATTGGAATCTCAGCCAGCTGATTTTCCTGTTTGATGTCTTCACCTCGAAGTGCTGTACAAACCTCGACAGTACCATTCCTCGATACATCTCCACCTTTACTTTTCTCTGCGGTGGAGACTTTGGCCTTTTCAGCAAGAAACCTTTGGATCTCTAGCTCAATGCCATCGTCGCTGTCTACTGAACTGCTGTCTTCCTTTACCTCACGAGTAGTCTGAGTATTGTGCGGCAACGGGGTGTTTTGACCCCCAAATGCTGGTTCACCGTCATGTATATCATCGTGCTCTTGACTCTTATTAGGAAGTGTATGTTGTGAAACGCTCTGTTTACTCAGTCCAGCCTTGTCTTTCATGTCATTCTTACTCTTTTCTAGGTTTTTCAAAAGACTGCGCTTGGAAAAATGATCAGGTTTCAACTTTTTGGTCTCTAAAGCATTTCCAAGCTGTGGTTCTTCATCGTTGGGACACAGCCTTGATTTCCGCTTCAAGTCTCTTGTCTTTTTCTTTGACTTCTTTTTTGTCTTGAGCAGGTCTTTAATAGCGCTGTCAAGGTCCTCATCGCTGTCAAGTGAGCTGCTTTTGTCTCCACTCTGCTCCATCTTATATAATCCAGCCATTGGGTGTGTTTGACTTCTCTGGGATTTTTGCCCATGCTCAGGTGAAGGTCTCGGGGACGTTTCTTTGACGTTGTTATCTGTCCCTGACGTGATGGAAATGCTACAGCTTCCCTCTTTCTGTTTTCTTCTCTGTGTCAAAGACAATCTTGAAGGTTTCTTTTGGGTTGCAACTTTCACTTTCTCCGGTTGATTTCTACACTGAGGCTCTTGAGTCGCAGCAGCGGGCATCTGTTTGTGCATTTGGGCCTTCTGCTCAAGAAATGTCCTGATTTCCTGCTCTATCCCATCTTCACTATCAATGGAAGTGCCATCGCTGTCTTCATCTGGGCAGTTGTCAGGGGGTGACGATTGCAAGGAAGATTCGGTAGGAGTGCTACTGCTGAGGCCAACACTGGGATGGAAGGCCTCGGGCATGACAGTTTTTGAAATGTCCAGTATTGCCTCAGCACACATGAGCTCCACAGTTGTATTAACCTTTGGAGGGGCAGGGCTAGGTTGCTCCTTAAAACCATCTTCTTCAAACAAAAGCAATCCATTTCCTTTACCATTCGAGCGCTCTAAAAGTGTACTCTTGGGTATGAAAACAGGAGGAGGAGGAAGTTGAACAGATTTGGCTTCTTTCTCTGCTCTGGTCCTTTTCTTTCTCAGTCTGTGTTTCTTCATGTTTTCCGTGCTTGTACTGGTAAAGGGTTTCTGCTCGTGTAAGAATGGCTTCAGGACACTCTTCTCCCTGAGTTGCTCAAGCTGGTAGGAACGAATAGCTTCCTCAATCCCATCATCACTGGTGGAGTCAGACTCTTCTCTGAATGCAGGCGGAGAGAAAGTTTCCGTTTTGTTCTGCTGCTCTTTTTTCTCCAGCTGGTATCTTTGAATGGCTTCCTCAATGCCGTCGTCACTACTGGAGTCATTTGACACTTCGTCTACCTTAAGTGTGACCGGGCACTTTACTTTGTCGAAAAGGCCGATTGTTTTAGAGAGCCGCTTTGTCTGCTCTTTGGGCAAGGCTTGACTTGTATTAGTTGTACTTGTATTTGAATCCAATTTCTCAACTGCGTTGTCATTTAGGAGGGCCCTGTTTTTGATATACTTTTTTATAGGTATAACAGCTGGTGCTGTGGAAGTCTCAGCTTCCATACTTTTTGGAAACTGGCTACTGGCAATCAAAAAGGTATTGCTGTCAGAGATCTGGTTGGAATCCTCAGGAACAGGAGAGCTTGTCCTGGGAATCTTGGATGATTGGAGAAATGCTAAGCATGGTTCCGCCTTGCGTTTGTGATCATCCTTTTCCTTCAGGTATTCCAGTATAGCCTCCTCAATTCCTCTGTCCACAGAAGCATCGCTGTCAGAGTCACTGAGCTCATGGTTGATTGGGGAGGTAACATCTGCCTGTTGGTTTTCGGTGGAACCTGTAGTTTTGGACTTTTGGCCCACATAAGAACCCATTGCAACCTTGCAGAGTTGGGGATGACCGTCGTGTCCTGGTGGCACATTTTCCTCGATCTCGTCGCCCATCTCGAGTGAGGACTGGGTGCTCCTAAGGCTCTCTATGATCATCTGGACCTTATCTGAGATAGGTGTGCCTCTGGTGGACAGCTCGGTGTCAGAGTCATTGAAGCAGATTGGAAGGCTATAGCCTCCAGGTGGGCCACATGTTCTCCATTTTGTTGGCGTCGCTGCGACAGGAGGTACATTCATCAAGTACATTCTAATGAAGTGAGGTGAGGTCCTCGACCATTGGAGTGCAGCTGCCTCCGATCACACTCACATTGTTCAATCTGAGAAGAAAACAGAAACAGGGAATCAGTGACAGGCAAGTCCTACGACCAATGTGTGGGAATCATGTATCAAAATATTCGGATGACAAAACATTATTATTCACTGTGTCCACATGTCGGATCCTTTTGTAAGAGCTGTGAATTAAGTCGGTTATGCCACTGGAGTATTGTAAACTGAGCCAACAAAAGTAAAGTGTCTAAGACATCCAGATTTCCATTTTGTCAAATTGTTTACAGAAATCTTCAATTATTTCAAGAGATTTTTAGGGACATTTCAGGGAGCTGACAACTACTACTCACAACCACCAACACACATTCAGAGGAAATACGCTGCAGTTTACACTTACAGTAACTGATTACTTGTAAAATGTTAGAAAAAAATGCCCATATGATAACTTCAAGTTATAGTACTTTATATGCAAGTATATATAAGTAAACTTATGAATATAGTCAGCTTCCACTAAACCTATGACTATCCGTTGATAGCTAATTTCCTCTCCTTTACTTAACCCATCAGAGTAGACAACACTGATGGAGACACCCACTCACAATACATATCCACAGCTACATATCCTGAATATGCAGCAGAATCAGCAGCTTAAGTGCTCTGCTGCCATCCTGTGGAGGAACTCGATGTGACCATTCTGCAGTACTTTATTGAAGGCTGCATGTTGTTATCATGTTAAATGCAATGGTGCTGCATGGTTCTGGGAGATCTGACTTAGTGCGTATTTGTGTGTGATTTGAGGAATATTTGGGAGACTACAGATGGCTGTGTGTACAGTATGTACGATGTCTGCAGCTTCCTCACAGTTTAAGCCTTCAAGTGGCTGGCTTTAGTCAGTCTCTTAGTCCTGTTTCAGTCCCTTGACCAAAAAGCTCACGTAATTGCTAAGTCAGTAACTGTAGGCCAAGTCAAGTGCATAAAAGTAATTTCTCACCGAAATGGAACAGGATCAAGACTAGGAATCTAATAAAAGTGAAAGGAGGCAGTGATGCTGAAAGACTAACTGTGAAATCGCTGAAGAATGTGTTCAGGTACATTCTGTCCCACTGAGGGAAAGAATGGACTCCATCATCATGGCTCTGATATAACCTCAGGTCTTTCAGCAATTGTCCCAATTTGTCCAGTTAGTAATCCAGCCTTGTGGCTGTCGTCAAGCTGTGATTGGAGTGTTAAATGCATTCAATAAAGCACATATAATACAAAAAATAAAACGGTATTCCATTCCACCCTCATATGCGAGGACTTTGCACACACAATCACAGTATACTCTTGGGCGTGGTTTTTCTGTTTTCCTATTTCATGATTTGACTGTGGCAGTAATAGTGAGTGCTTAAAGCAGACTACTCTGGTACAGCTTACTTAATAATCTTGCAGTGACTGAGATTTGCTTTCAAACTCAATTCATATCCAAATAACTAAAAAAATAAAAGGCATTTTACATGCTCTCCTTATGTTAACTTTTAGGTGGCTAAATAAACCACTTTTTCCCTGGGGGCTCCATGGAACCCACCAGAAAGCCCCTATAGATCCCCAGACCTGTGTGTTGATTTGAGAACATCGAATATGAATTTACAGCACCAGGCAGGTATCAAAGGAAAGATTTTTGGATGACTTGAGCACATGCACACATTTGTAAATGTACATCTTCCAAATTATTATAGGAGTAAAAACTGATGTTACAGGTTGTTGTGGGTAGTCCTTCCTTTTATTAAGGAGAATCCAGAGTGTCAGTGGCAGGCTAATGGCTAGAATTTGACACAAATGAGCCCTAATTCCTTCAAATTAAACGTGTTAAATTATCATGTTTATCCAATCGGTCGTTGTCCTCTCAGCACCCCCTCTCCCTTTCAGTTTTAGGGCAACATTGGATGTTGTTTAAGCTCTCATCGATGGACAGATTTGACTATGCACACATCAACAAAGTAATGCAATACAGAACAAATATGGAATGGTGTCACTTCATGAGCAGGCTGGGCTGCTGGACTACAGTCACCGGTTGTGAAAAAAAAGTATTCAAATACTTTATGCAAATATAGCTGCAATATGAAAATTGTGTTAAAGAAAGTATCATCAGCAAACTGTACTTCAACCATAAAAAGTAAAAATACTCGTTCAACCTATATGTGTATATTTTTTTGGAACAATCCAACGTATTTCATATCCAAGATGTATATATATATATTTTAAATCAATCTGCAAAGTAACCTGTAACATCAAACTTAGATAAATACCTAAACTATCTTAAACTGTAATTCTATGATACTTGACTAAGTGTAATGTAATACTTTCCACCACTAGGGTTAATATATCTTGCTTTTGGACAGATAGGTGGATAGATTTCACATTGTGTCTTTTAAAACCAGATCCATACTGGTTGTTTGTTTAAGCAGTTTCTGTTGCGCCCAAGTCGAAAACTACGGGTGCCTGCCAGGCTCAGACGACATCGGATGTTAATGTCGCACCTGAACCTAATACTACAGCGATACTTGTCCAGAGATGAACGGTGTTAACAGCCGGTGTTAGTACCTCCACGAACAAGCATGCTGTCGGACATTAAACCCGTTTAAAAGTCGCCATGCAACAGCCTTTGCTTAGCCTACCTACCCCCAAATGTAACGTAAATCCTCCCTTCCAGCTCCACATGCACCCTGCAGGGGAATGAACAACCCGGCTACAGACAGCAAGAGACGATATGTCCAACTCTTAATCATCGTCCCCCTCAGTGATTAAACCTTGATAAACCTGGTATAAAAGTGCGACTAAATGCAGGAAACCAGGAGAGGTCACGAAGAGACGCCCATCTGAAAAAAACCCCGCCGAGAGGCGCATAAACCGAGCTAAAAATGTAGCATAACGTAGTCGTATGCCAACTTTGTTTGACATATATGTACGAAGAAAGTTTCACCACACATGCCAAAATTAGTGGGTAGCATTTTCTGTATTACATAAGCAAACTGTGTAATTGCGCGTATTTTCCCTCCCCGGACGCTTTCCTGGTCGCATGATTGAAACCCCGGCTGTCCTCGTAACCCTCTAGCGGCACGGACTGCATCGATGCCCGGCGTGTAGCGTTAGGAGACTCCGCAGAGCAACCATGTTTCTCCGTTCCGGCCATGGTTGTCAAAACAAAAAAAACCTCGATATTCGGTCGCTAACACCGCTGAACGTAAATAATGTCCGTAAACACTCATACGTAGAACAATATGGTTACATTTGTGGTGGAAATGGATGAGGTAGTGTGGAGCATCGGGGGGATAACCGTGGCTAGCAGTCGGTGACTTGAAAGACACAGGCGGGCCTCTCGGCTGCTGCAGCCCCGGCAAAGAAAGCCTTTGTATTGAGCCACAGCTTACCCTCGGCTATTTTTCCACACCGCTACAGCCACAGAACACAAGTGCACAAGTTTAACTCACCCATATGTGAGACAAAAACCACCTCTACAGAAATAGTGGGTTCATTGCTGCGTTGATATGAGATGTTAGGAAAGCCGTCGTGGAGATATTTCGGTGTCCGTCGCACGCTCACACACACCGCCTGCAGCACTCGCCGTCGAGTCCCCCTCCGCTCCGACTCCCGGGCGGGCCAGCAGCTTCCTTATACCCAAAGTCCAACCCTTCGGTCCAGCCAAGCATGGAGCCATTCAAATATGACATCTGCATTTTTTAAATGTCCGCTTTACATTTTCACGTTTTACATAAAAAAACCACAACGATGTATGTAAATTAGAAAAGTTAATGCTGCGTTAATAAATGAAAACAGGTTTTTCCAAGAACAATTAAGTGTCAAATAAACCTTAAAAATACTTTTTTTATAGTATCCCAGAGACAGAACGATTATACAATTAAAGATTGGATAAGTCTTCTCATTAGGAAGTTTCATATCCAATATGGGAGTGGTTTGATACAACTCCCAATAACATATCTATTTTGGAACACAATCCCACTACTACCATTATTCAGTAGTATTTAGTTATTTACTTGATAAATGTATATTAAAAGTTTTTTCTTTAATATCTGTATTATACTTCTAAAACAGGCCAGATGTGCCAATGCGTTCCATCCAAACAACTCAACAAAGAGAGTAAATCTAATTTTTTATTTAATTGCAGACATGCAGACATTGAAATATCATTCAAGATCCAGAAAAATAGATCGTGTTGTCATTCAGTTAGGGTTCGGCCCCCTGTGACTTAATCTAAATGAATACTGGTGATCTATGCACGGTTTATAAAAGCAGACTATATAGCTTAAATTTAGAGAAAATGTAAGTCACGTCTGTTAGTCGTTCAAATATATTTAATTAAAAGGCATATTTAAAAAAAGTTTTTGTTGTTTCTCTTTGACTTCATGGAATATTAATCCTCAAGAGTTGTGTCTGACAGGATGCATGAGTCAGTCACATAACTCAATGCAACTCTTTTCTGAAGGTTGCTCTACATATTGGGGTTAAGCACCTGTGTGCTGTTGGACATGTCAACTTCTTGCATCTAACATATTGAGACTCATCTCACTGTCTTTTCTCATTAACCCTGAAGGAATCGAAGCTAATACTACAATTTAAAGCATTGCATTGTGTGCAATATCTTAACTTGTAACCCTGTTTATTGGAAAAATATTTTAGATCTTTGTCAGAGGCTTTGGAAATCTTTTGAAACATGCTATATTGGGATATGGGAATAAAATTCGGGATGCATTTCAGATTTGTTTTAGTGTATTGTCCATTGTATTTTACACAGTGTGTATCATTGTAAAAAGAATAGGAAGTCAACAAAAGGGCGACAGTATTAAATATTGTTGATTCAGAATACAGAACAGACATGATGTATTTCACTTTATACTTTCATGATGTATCTGTGATTTGGGACTGTTGCCATAGTGTGTAGAGTGTGCCACAGTTTGATTTGTTTCTTTCCGGGGATGTTCGTCTGATCCTAAAAAGCAGCACTGTGTCTCGAGAGGCTGTTTATCCATCAAAGTGTCTGACTGTTTGCCTTCTGTTTGTAAGCCTCCTCTGTTTGCTGTTAGTCATACAGCGGAGTGTACTTAATATTTTGATTCAAATTCAACAAACTGTTGTTTTTTATTATCGATTCATTTGAATAACTGATTAACCATATTACCTATAAACTGTCAAACAACAGTGAAACAATAGCTATTACAACTTCTCAGAACGAAAGGTAACGTCCTCAAATGTATTGTTTTGTTTGAAGAAAAGTCCAAATTCTAAAAACACTCAGTTTTGAATTCATTTTGACAATAAAAAGCAGCAAATCCTGTCATTTGATAGACAGAAACTGGAGAATGTTTGGGATTTTTTACTATTTTTGCTTGGAAACATTACTGAATTGACCGTTTATCAAATTGGTTGGAGATTAATTGTAGCAGCTCTAGAGGATTTGTCAACATTACATGTTTTAAAGTATACCTGCAGGTATTGTCAAATTCTGCCCTTCTCTTCATTTTGACAAAGATGATGAACACCTAGGCTACAAGAGTATACACTTGTATAAACACTTGAATATACAAAATATACAGTCCTTGGCTCATTTACTGTTAATGACACCTGTTACTAAAACTGTAGATTGCGTCAGTATAGGAATCAACTAGCAAGCTAGTAACAGAGTGACTCACTCCCACTGAGGATTCAACAATCCTCCCAATTCTCAGGTCTAAACTGTCTCAGTTCACCTTTTGACATCTCACTGCACTTCTCCAGGATGGATTTCAAATTTTTGCTATCCGTCAGTTAAACATTCTCTGCTCATCCTCATCCTGTGTCTTGACTTCTGACTAGGCTCATGCATATTTGTTCTCTGTCACTTTCACAAATATATGAATCTATTTTCCTAAAGTTAAGAGCTGGTGAAATGAGATTTAAAAAACCATGATAGGTCAAATATGGAATACATGTCATTTATTAATTCCCTGGATCTGATGTTATGATATAATGAAAAACAGACATTTACAATTTAGTTTATTATACTGAAACAGCTAAACAGGTGTGCTACACGCTGCCAATGTGTGACTCTGTGCCAGTTCATTATGATCAGACTTCATTCAGAGTTACCATATTCAATTTACAAAGCCACTTAGTGACTTACTCACTTCAATGTCGTCTGAATTTCAGATTATATTGACAATAGTGTGAAAAGCTGTCTGTGGACATTCAGGTGAGAGCTAGGTAACAGCTGGGGTTTATCTTTTTTATTTGTTAATTTTTCACAGGTGGTTCTTTTACCTTCCTGCAGAATCAGCCAGGTGGAAACATGGATGAGGACGGACACTAAAAGTCTATCACAGATCACTGAAAGAAGAGGCCTGTGTGAGGTGCAATATTCGGTTAGTGGTTTTCATCTTGCACTTTAACATTTGCCATCATTAGAGATATCAATGGATGGGACTTTTCGTCTAAATTGATGTTGCGTTTCAGTATAGAAAAATAGAATTCCGACTATTCCCTATAATCTTTCAACAAGTGACATGGAAAAAGAAATATATTTGAGGCATTTAGGGATTTCAATATGCGGCTCACATTGTGTTTTGACCAGTCTGTCCCTTCAGACACATTTGTGGGACCATAAGAAAGTATTGAGGACACGGAGGCAGTATACCGTAACTACACCGTTCTAAATGCATACTGTGTGGGATCCTCTGTTCTGTTTCACTGCAAGAAATGAGGTGATTTGAGTTGCCCTGATGGAAATGTGAACAAATTGGTTCCATTTTCATGGCGGTGAAAAGACTGACACAAGCAGCACTTGAAATGCCCTTTGCCTTGTTCCTTTGGTGTTTTCATTTGCATGCAAACAAGGAGGTGATGGGCTGCAGATCTTGGTACTTGGTGATCATTTAATTGAGGAGACGTCAGAGGCACACGTTAGGTCTCAGACCGACATCATTCATTTGCTAATAAAACAAAAGGCATGATGGAAATACAAAGCAGCCTCTCTATGTCTCTCCTGCCGCTCCTTTTCCAAAAAACTTGCTGTCTGCTGCGGGAGCTCGGCCATGCAGGCACAAAAGTTACCAAAGGGGAAAGTGAGGTTCAGCACCATGGACAGCAGCCCTGCTCACACCGGCATCGAAGTGGAAGAATATGAGAACATTTAACATTTAACCATAGTTGTTAAATTCAACTTTTACCACCAGAAGACATTTTTTTCTATCCGTAACACCTCGCAAATATGTTGGGGCAACTGCTGCTGGAAATCTGTTTAATATTGATATAATGAATAAACGGTGGAACTGTCAAAAAATCAAGAACCTGGATGATTTCCTGGATAGACCATACATTAAAAGCAATGTTAGCAATTGCACTAGAATAGTTCAAACTGCTCTAACACTGACATTATAATTAGATTAGTTCAGTCTTGAGTGGGGAATCGTCACAAAAGTTAAACTACATCAATTTGACCACCTCTCGGTGTGCTCATTAGCAAGTGAGGCTCATGGGAGTGCTTATAAAAGCTTGATCAAATTAAGGCCATTATTTTGTGTAATTTCAGGAGTAAAAACTGTACCAATTCCCATGTTATACAAAGTAAAACAGGGAAATGCCTTAAGAAACACCTGACGCAGTCTGCATTAAGTTCTCTACATAAACACACAGGTTTGATTAGTAGGTTTTCTCATCCACTCTGTAGGTCTTCCAAATTTGGGTCCCGATCAAATAATAAAGCAATTCAAGTTGACATCCATCCATACCAAATACAGTATAACTACATCATGTTCCTGCAATGTATACCACCAGATGGCGGTGTAGTCCTGCAAAAACAAAAACAATGTACTTCCTCTATATATTCGTTGTTTTTACACAGCCACAGAGAATAAGCACAGTGGGCAGCAAGAGGAAAGGTCAAATACAATGGACAGAAACAAATAAGACATAAATACAAAATGCAAAACAATAATCTTACTTACAAAAGCAAAGAATAACTCATTGATTAGACTCACATATCTATAAGTCTGGGCGCTGGTGAACGTATACCTATTTAAAAAAAAGGGTCTTCTTTTTCTATGCTTCACATTTCATTTTTATATTCTTCTTTGAGCAACAACATTTGATTTTGCATCTTCTTGCCAGTCATAATGCATTGGGCTGAGCAGGAGCATAAAAACACATTTGTACCCCGAACCTAAAAAGCAGTATGCTCTTCATGTTCTACAGAGTTGATCAGACCATCTGTAGTCAATAGAATATTTCTTTATTACATGAAGACATTCCCATCTTCAGTGTTTTCTTTAAAAACATTAAGTTGGATTTCTCCAGGGGGACATTCAGAGACATGTTAGCGTTGCTCCTACAGGGGGCAGCAGAGGCCCACTGTGGTGCTTCAGCTTTTCTTTCGTGGCAGTATTTGTGGTGTTCTAATGGGAGAAAGGTAGTAAAGTAACACAGGCTTAATTACAACACTCAGTTCAATCTGCTCTCATCCTGCATCATGTCCTCAGAGGAGCTTCACAACCTGATATGATGGCTGATGTTTATTAACCGCAATTAAACTGATCCACAGCTCGAAATGCCAATCCGCTGGGCCATTATTTTTCTTAATGTG